GAGAGAGGGAAGTCTGGGTCTCTCTACTTAGACTGCTGCCCCCGAGACCTGACCCTGGATAAGAGGAAGAAAATGAATGGATGGACGGTTTGGAGTGATGTTGTGACTGCTTGTAAATCTGGTTTTTATGAACCCATTTAACCAGTGCGGTCCTGCAGGTAGCAGTGGTTCGGACCCCACCAAGGTCTCCTGGCTCAGCTCGTGGCCGGACGCCCCCCCTTCCCTCCCATCCGATGCCTGACCTCAGCAACGTTAGGTCTAAGGTGGGATCAACGGAGAACCTGAAGCACTCACCTGGAGGGGGCAAGGTAATACCTGTCTGTGTATTTATACACGTGAACTCCGTCTCAGGTAAATCTGACCCACCTGTTCTCCTGCAGATTCAAATAGTCAACAAGAAGCTGGACCTCAGTAACGTGACGTCCAAGTGTGGCTCCAAAGACAATATCTACCACAAACCAGGTAACTTCAAACATCAGACCTAAAACAAAACGTCATTGTCTCATTTAAAGGTGTTCAGAATCATTTTCAACACAGAGAATTATGATCTTCATTAATGTACGGTGGTGTGGCTCCACCTGGACAGGTGATACAGTGAATGACTTACTGAAGATCCGCCCATTTTCTTCTCCTCAGGTGGAGGGAAGGTGGAGATCAAGTCTGAGAAGGTGGAATTTAAAGAAGTTCAGTCTAAAGTTGGTTCTCTGGAGAACGTTACTCATGTTCCAGGAGGAGGGAGGAAGAGGGCAAGTACTGACATAAACACACATGCTAATGACATGCTAACAACATGCTAACATTCTTATATTGTGCTAACTTTAACAGTATGCTAATGACATGCTAACTGTGCTAACTTTAACAACATGCTAATGACATGCTAACAACATGCTAACATTCTTATATTGTGCTAACTTTAACAGTATGCTAATGACATGCTAACATTCTTATATTGTGCTAACTTTAACAACATGCTAACATTCTTATGTTGTGCTAACTTTAACGACATGCTAACCTTATATTGTGCTAACTTTAACAACATGCTAATGACATGCTAACATTCTTATATTGTGCTAACTTTAACAACATGCTAATGACATGCTAACATTCTTATATTGTGCTAACTTTAACAACATGCTAATGACATGCTAACATTCTTATATTGTGCTAACTTTAACAACATGCTAATGACATGCTAACATTCTTATATTGTGCTAACTTTCTGATCATAAACTAAAATAAATGTTCCCTTCAATTGAACAGATTCAAAGTTTTTCAAGCAGATGTGTTTGTTTACAGATCGAGAGCCACAAATTGTCATTCAGAGAGAACGCTAAAGCTCGGACCGACCACGGTGCTGACATCATCGTCCAGGCTGACTCCTCCCCTCCTCACCTTAGCAACGCTTCTTCCCATGAAAGCCTTAACGCTGCTGAAGCTCCGCCTCTCGACACTCTGGCTGACCAGGTGAGCGAATCGTTCGCTCAGAACCAAACCAAACATGCAGCTTCAGTCAGTAATCCACCTCCTCCTCCCGCCAGGTGTCTGCCTCCCTCGCCAAAGAAGGCCTGTGATTGGACGTGCTCTGTGCCTGCAGACCCAGCCCCCTCCTGTTCCTAAGGAAAGCATCAACTGGAAGAAAAAACAAGATCATTCAACACTTTTCTTCTTTTATCTAACAAAAACGTCAGCAGTGATTGGAGGGATTTTATGATTCAGAGTGAACAGCAGCCAATCAGAGTTCAGTCAGCCAGGTGATAAGGCAGGCGAACTGATTGAGATGCTCATAAAATCCCTCCAATCACAGACAACCTATCTCTGATGACGCCTCTCTTTCAGCTAATCACCATTGTCCGTGTTTCTGAAAGCCGACGTGACCCAACGATCCCTAACATGACCTTAACATGATGCAATGACCTCTGCATACATCGATACCGTCTGATGGGAATCGTTGGCCACGCCCCTTTGTTCCTTCTTTAGGTGTGTCAAACTCCCCGTGATGCTGCTACGTGACGTCAGTGATGTGAACAAACGGCCAAACACCTTTTTTTCTGTTTTATATTTTCCTAACAGAAGATTTCTGAATCTAAGTAACACTTAAAATCTCAAATCATGTTTGAGTAATTACGGTTAAACCCAATTATCGTTAGTTCACATAAAAACAATATATAAAACTTTAAATATATGATTGAAAATATGTGAATGTGACACATGAGGCAGTAACAACCCCTGCATTAAAAAATAAAATTAAATACCCAGAATTCTGTTTGGTCAGTGGTGGCAAAACTGTCTTTGTGCCTGTTGGCTGTTAAAGTGCTTTGTATCAATAAAGTTTCTCTTGAATCAATATTTAAAGCTGCAGTTCCATTTTTCATCACCACTGGAGAGTCTTCATCAGTAAATTTACAGCTAACAGCAGTGTTGTATAAAGTACCACAAAGTGATACTTAAGTAAAAGTACAAGGATCTTACCAAAAAATATTTGGTAAAAGTTAAAGTCTCCTTTAGTAATATTACTTAAGTCAAAGTATAGATTTAAAATGAGCAGTTAGATTTTCTGTAAGGACATTTATTAGGAGGTGACCTCCCCAAAAACTGCAGAAATGACTGTTGTATTAAAAGAATTCATTGACGTTAAATTTAGCATGCAGTAGTCCAGCTGTTTCAGTTGTTATATATAT